TTCCACTGTTCCAACCCCCAATCTCCTTTCCACTGCTCCAACCCCCTCTCCTTTCCACTGTTCCAACCCCCAATCTCCTTTCCACTGCTCCCCTCCTTCCTTTCCACTGCTCCAACCCCCTCTCCTTTCCACTGCTCCCCTCCTTCCTTTCTCTCCTTTCCACTGCTCCCCTCCTCCCTTTCTGTCCTTTCCACAGCTCCTCTCCTTCCTTTCTCTCCTTTCCACAGCTCATTCCTCCCTTTCTCTCCTTTCCACTGCTCCCCTCCTTCCTTTCTCTCCTTTCCACAGCTCATTCCTCCCTTTCTCTCCTTTCCACTGCTCCCCTCCTTCCTTTCTATCCTTTCCACAGCTCCCCTCCACCACACATGTCACCAGATATAAACAAGAGATCAGAACAACAACACCTTTCATAGATGATTGCACCAACACTAATCTGATCTGCATGCTTTTATCTCAGTGTATCCACTTGTCTTTATCAAATTAGCCTTCGAATGAGATTGTAATAAGATCTTTACCGATGTGATTATGATGAGATCAGGGTATTGGTGTCAAGAGTTTCATTGTACCTGCTGTTGTCAGGCTGCTGAACCAAATGTCATCATTAGTATTCTTGTCCTTAATAAGCGTGATGTTGAAAATTGAAAATATGACAGAAATTAATTGACTTTCTGAAGGATATAATTTAGCTCACCTGGTCCGAAGGACCATGGTGAGCTTATGCCATACCGCAGCATCCCTCGTCCGTCAACTTTTCCTTTAAAACGCTACTAGTCATGAATGACTGAGCAGATTTGACCAAATTTGGTCAGAAGCATCCTTGGGGGAAGGAGAACACATTTTGTATAAATGGTGGGTGTGGCCCCCCTGGGGCCTGAGGGGCGGGGCCAAATAGGGGAAATATAGCAAATTCTTTAAAATCCTTCTTCTTCTGTAGGAATGAAAGGATTTGTTCCATATTAGGTCTGAGGCATCCTTGGGTGAAGAGGAACCAATTTTGTATAAACCGTGGGGGTGGCCCCCCAGGGGCCTGAGAGGCCGGGCCAAATAGGGGAAACATAGCAGATTATTCTTTAAAATCCTTCTTCTATAGGAATTGGTCCATATTTGGTGTGGAACATCCTTGGGTAAAGGGGAACCAATTTTGTATAGACGTTGGGTGTGGCCCCTCTGGGACCTGAGGGGCGGGGCCCAATAGGGGATATATAGGTAAAACCTTTATAATCCCACTTCTTCCATAGGGATTAAGGGATATTTTTCTAATTTAGTCTGGAACATCCTTAGGCAAAAGGGATTCAATTTCGTATAAACAGCGAGTGTGGCCCCCCTGTGGGCAGAAGGGAGGGGCCCAATAGGGGAAACATAGCAAATTCTTCAAAATCCTTCCTCTTCTGTAGGAATGACAGGATTTTGTCCAAGTTTGGTATGAAGCAGCCTTGGGTGAAGGGGAAACAATTTTGTATAAGCAGTGGGTGTGGTCTCCCAGGGGGCAGAAGGGCGGGGCTCAATTGGAGAAATAGAGGTAAAACCTTTAAAACCCTACTTCGACCATCGGGATTATGGGATTTTATCCTTATTTAGTCTGGAGCATCAATGGACCAAAGGGACTCAATTTTGTATAATTGGTGGGTATGACCCCCCTTAGGTTGCATAGGGGTGGGGCTCTGTTTGAAGTTTGTTCTCGCTATATCTCAAGTACTGGATGGATCTCTCTGAAATTTCATATGTATTTACAGCACCTACTTTATACCAATTATTTTAAACATATTCAGCTGAGCGATACAGGCCCTCTGGGCCTCTTGTTAACTCACCTAGCACTAAGTGTGATTAGATTAATGAATTTATGCATTGTACTGTTAAAATACTGGATATTATTGGCTGTATAAATTTCATGTTTAATTACTGGATATTATGACAATAACATAATTATGGATGCTTGTGTACTTATGTAAAAGTGAATGGGGACAGGCATCCTAACTGGAGGAATACAATCTAGGCTAAAAGTGGGGTGTACACTTAAGGATGTATGGTACCTTATTGTGACATGGAGACTTAAGGATATATATGTTACCTTACTATGACATGCTTTTTCTTTTATAAACGAGTTCCACACCAGAGAACATGTGACATTTATTTGATGAATGGTTATATGAGCTTGGTTAATCCTATGATGACCTATTGGATGGGTACTACAGTACACAAGGATACCTACAGTGATGCACTCAGCAAACTCTCCAGGATTAGATAGTTTATAAAACATTGATATAGAAATAACACAGCAGATAAAACATGTAAGGTAACATATTGGTATAATACACAAATTGATTTTACTCACAGTTCATTTCATAATTGAGCTGAATACAAATATTTTTTACATCTTTAAGGGACAGTCAAGACATGTCATCTTTATTATAAATATATTTAAGTACCTGCAAAACTACTGTAATATTTTATAAATTTTGCATTTTTTTTCTTTTTTGAACAGTCAGATCTCTCAATGTGATGTCTCCCATTTAAATGAATGGAGACATATGGTATTGGCACTGGTTCTTTTTCTGATTCTTCTTTTGGTTTTTTACTTCTCTGCAATCTTTTCAATATTTCTGGTGAAATAAATCTGATATATCTATACAACCCCCCAAGAGGTGTACAGTACACAGCAATTAGGCAACTGTGACCTCTACATAAGGTCAAAGGTTAAATAAATGCAATATTTCTAGTGGAATATTGTCTTTGCCATAACCTTGAAGCCTGTTGAAGGTATTTTGCTGAAACCTGAAATATATCTGCATGTCAGCTAAATTAGGTATGTAGAATTTGTCATGATGTCCTTCACCTCTAGGTGAAAGGTAAAATTTGTACAAAAGTTGAGGGCAGCAATCATGCATGTTCACAAAAAAAAACAAATTTCTAGTTTTTTCGTACAGTACCTATACATGTATCCTTTAGTTAGCTCTATAGCACAGATCCTCACAAGGTTCTAATTTTCGGCCTATAGGTTTCATAATTAGTACTCTGCTTTAATTGTCTATTGTTATAAGCTATATACCAGCTGTTACTAGTGTGATCTGTCGGTGACAAACATCACCTCTATATCTGTCACTGTCTCCAGCCGTCCAGGGATGTATCATACATACAAAGTCTGCTAAATGAAGAAGTGTTTTGTGGTAATTGTGTGCTGTGTCGCATCACAGCATGTTGACGCCTGCTGTTGATAGACACTAACTACATTCACACCTTGTGGTCCTTCCTTCCAGGAGCGCCTACAATTGGAGGAGAGAATGCGCAAACAGGAGATGGACATTGACTACCTGGCCCCGTTCCTTGCCCAAATGGGCAACCCCGATAAAATCACCAGGCAACAGGCCTACCAGCTCAAGGAAGACTGTCTCGGTGATCTCAAGAAACGCCTAATTGACAAAGCCAACCTCATTCAAGCCAGGTTCGAAAAGGTTTGTACCAATTAAACAAAGTCAGCCCAGTAGTGCCCGAGGCCAATCTCAGCTAGCACTAAGTGATTTGTTGCTAGACAAAAAAATCAATACCATATTACATCTCCTGGAAATCACAAAAGTCAGAACATTCTTTGATGTATTTTTATGAAAAATATATGAGTTAGATAATTTAGCAAAAATATTATTATAAACCCATAAAAGAAGCTTTTGTGGGTTAAATCATCTTAGGTAGTCATCTGAATTCAAATTAAGGTCAATTTTGTATCGTGCCATTATGTAATTTATGCAAATATCATTTCTGGAATTTCTGTACAATTACGGTAACAGTTTCCTTTTGGGAGTTTGATGGGAATGATTTAGATGATTTGTGCTCCCTGTAATTTAGTTGTAAATAATCTGTTATGTCTAATCTAACTGACAGTAAGGTCAGGTGAAAGAAATCATTGTTTAACCAAAATATATATAGCATGTGTATATGTCTACTAGAATAAAGGAATCTCTTATCTTTCAGTTCTTGTAATCAGCTGTGAGCATTCTTAGAATTTTTACTGCACTGTAAACATTGTTAGTCTGTGTAACTGAACTGTAAACATTGATAGTTAGTGTTACTGAACTGTAAACATTGATAGTTAATGTTACTGAACTGTAAACATTGTAAGTTAGTGTTACTGAACTGTAAACATTGAGTTAATGTTACTGAACTGTAAAAATTGATAGTTAATGTTACTGAACTGTAAACATTGATAGTTAATGTTACTGAACTGTAAACATTGTAAGTTAGTGTTACTGAACTGTAAACATTGTTTGTTAGTGTTACTAATCTGTAAATATTGTAAGTTAGTGTTACTGAACTGTAAACATTGAGTTAATGTTACTGAACTGTAAACATTGATAGTTAATGTTACTGAACTGTAAACATTGATAGTTAGTGTTACTGAACTGTAAACATCGATAGTTAATGTTACTGAACTGTAAACATTGTAAGTTAGTGTAACTGAACTGTAAACATTAGTCTGTGTAACTGAACTGTAAACATTGATAGTTAATGTTACTGAACTGTAAACATTGATAGTTAATGTTACTGAACTGTAAACATTGATAGTTAGTGTTACTGAACTGTAAACATTGATAGTTAATGTTACTGAACTATAAACATTGTTTGTTAGTGTTACTGAACTGTAAACATTGAGTTAATGTTACTGAACTGTAAACATTGTTAGTTAATGTTACTGAACTGTAAACATTGTAAGTTAGTGTTACTGAACTGTAAACATTGATAGTTAGTGTTACTGAACTGCAAACATTGATAGTTAATGTTACTGAACTGTAAACATTGTAAGTTAGTGTTACTGAACTGTAAACATTGATAGTTAGTGTTACTGAACTGTAAACATTGAGTTCATGTTACTGAACTGTAAACATTGATAGTTAGTGTTACTGAACTGTAAACATTGTTTGTTAGTGTTACTGAACTGTAAACATTGTCAGTCAGTGTTACTGAACTGTAAACATTGTAAGTTAGTGTTACTGAACTGTAAATATTGTTTCTAAGTGTAACTGACATATAAACATTGTTTGTTAGTGTAACTGACATATAAACATTGTTTGTTAGTGTAACTGACATGTAAACATTGTTAGTTAGTGTTACTGAACTGTAAACATTGTTTGTTAGTGCAACTGAACTGTAAACATTGTTAGTCAGTGTAACTGAACTGTAAACCTTTTTAGTCAGTGTAACTGACATGTAAACATTGTCAGTCAGTGTAACTGAACTGTAAACATTGTAAGTTAGTGTTACTGAACTGTAAACATTGCGTTAATGTTACTGAACTGTAAACATTGTTTGTTAGTGTTACTGAACTGTAAACATTGTAAGTTAGTGTTACTGAACTGTAAACATTGATAGTTAATGTTACTGAACTGTAAACATTGATAGTTAGTGTTACTGAACTGTAAACATTGATAGTTAGTGTTACTGAACTGTAAACATTGATAGTTAATGTTACTGAACTGTAAACATTGTTTGTTGTGTAACTGGACCTGGAGAATTATTAGTTGCTAGTTGATTGTGAGCATTGTGTAAGTCTGTGTAGCTGAACTGTGAGGATTTTAGTTTGTTTACCTTTGTATGTAAAGCCCTCTAATATGGTGCGATTTGTTTTTGCGTTTGTGAAGGAGACCCAGTTGTTGGAGAAGAAGCAGGCCTGGTACCAGCAGAACCAGGTAGCTATGTCTAAGGATGATGAGGAAGCGTACCTTGACTACTGTAGTGAAGCTCTGTTTAGGATACACATTCTTGACCTGCGCCTGGCAAGGTAATATACTAATTGCACACTCAATTAGACTATCATAATAATTAAAAGGCTTCTATAGAAAATGGGCTTAAGCAAGTCAATATTTTATGATTTAAAAACAACAACAATCAGTTAAAGGTGATAAACAACAGTTAAAGTTGGGTAACGATTTATACTGTTTTATTGGTCCCGAGGTTGGATCGTTGTGACTATAAAATTCTAGTGTCATGATGTTATATTAAGTCCTAATGCTATACCCGGGTACATAGAAAGTTCTAGTGTCATATACAGCTGTCATGAAACTTCAGAATTTGCATTTAAAACTTCTTGGTCAAACACAAGGTGACTGTTACTATGAGTTTATTTCTTAACATGTACATGTTTATAAACATCACTTTTTGTACTAGTTCACTTTTAAATCTTTTTAAGGTCACTCTTACTTTAAAAAGAACACTTGACATCATTGACCTTAAGTTGCTTCACACACTTCATGTTTCTGATCACTTCCAATCGTGAGGGTATAATGATCACTTCCAATCGTGAGGGTATAATGATAACTTCCAATCGTGAGGGTGTAATGATCACTTCCAATTGTGAGGGTATAAGTATTCTCTAGGATGCTGATAACTTCCAATTGTGAGGGTATAGATATTATCTAGGATGCTTATCACTTCCAGTCATGAGGGTATAATCATCACTTTCAATCATGAGGGTATAATCATCACTTTCAATCATGAGGGTATAATGATAACTTCCAATCATGAGGGTATAATGTTCACTTTCAATCATGAGTGTATAAGTATTATCTAGATGCTGATCACTTCTAGGATGCTGATCACTATACAGCTGTCATGAAACTTCAGAATTTGCATTTAAAACTTCTTGGTCAAACACAAGGTGACTGTTACTATGAGTTTATTTCTTAACATGTACATGTTTATAAACATCACTTTTTGTACTAGTTCACTTTTAAATCTTTTTAAGGTCACTATTACTTTAAAAAGAACACTTGACGTCATTGACCTTAAGTTGCTTAACACACATCATGTTTCTGATCGCTTCCAATCGTGAGGGTTTAAGTATTATCTAGGATGATGATCACTTCCCATTGTGAGGGTCTAATGATCACTTCCAATCTTGAGGGTATAAGTATCATCTAGGATTCTGATCTCTTCCAATCGTGAGGGAATAAGTATTATCTAGATGCTGATCACTTCTAGGATGCTGATCCCTTCCAATCGTGAGGGCATAAGTATTATCTAGATGCTGATCACTTCCAATTGTGAGTGTATAAGTTTTATCTAGGATGCTGATCACTATACAGCTGTCATGAAACTTCAGAATTTGCATTTAAAACTTCTTGGTCAAACACAAGGTGACTGTTACTATGAGTTTATTTCTTAACATGTACATGTTTATAAACATCACTTTTTGTACTAGTTCACTTTTAAATCTTTTTAAGGTCACTATTACTTTAAAAAGAACACTTGACATCATTGACCTTAAGTTGCTTCACACACATCATGTTTCTGATCGCTTCCAATCGTGAGGGTACAAGTATTATCTAGGATGATGATCACTTCCAATCGGGAGGGTATAATGATCACTTTCAATCAGGAGGGTATAAGTATTATTTAGGATGCTGATCACTTCCATTCGTGAGGGCATAAGTATTATCTAGTATGCTGATAACTTCCAATCGTGAGTGGATAATGATCGCTTCCAATCGTGAGGGTTTAAGTATTATCTAGGATGATGATCACTTCCAATTGTGAGGGTATAATGCTCACTTCCAATCGCGAGGGTATAATAAGCACTTCCAATCGTGAGGGTATAGGTATTATCTAGGATGCTTATCACTTCCAATCATGAGGGTATAATGATCACTTTCAATCATGAGGGTATAAGTATTATCTAGGATGCTGATCACTTCCAATCGTGAGGGTATAGGTATTATCTAGGATGCTGATCACTTCCAATTGCGAGGGTATAATGATCACTTCCAATCGTGAGGGTATAATGATCACTTCCAATCGTGAGGGTATAAGTATTATCTAGGATGCTGATCACTTCCAATCGTGAGGGTATAAGTATTATTTAGGATGCTGATCACTTCCAATCTTGAGGGTATAAGTAATATCTAGGATGCTGATCACTTCCAATCGTGAGGGTATAATGATCACTTCCAATCGTGAGGGTATAAGTATTATCTAGGATGCTGATCACTTCCAATCGTGAGGGTATAAGTATTATCTAGGATGCTGATCACTTCCAATCGTGAGGGTATAATGATCACTTCCAATCGTGAGGGTATAAGTATTATCTAGGATGCTGATCACTTCCAATCGTGAGAGTATAAGTATTATCTAGGATGCTGATCACTTCCAATCGTGAGGGTATAAGAATTATCTAGGATGCCTTGTAAGATAAGAACTTCCAAGAATGTATTTGGTCAGGGATTACAGCATCCAGTGGGACATACATCAGCTATGTTTTAACCCATTAGAACATAAAAAATAGTTATTGTGAGGACATTAGTAATGCACATTTGTGCAAGGAGATGCTGTCATTCACAGCCTGCCTACTGGTTATAGAGCAGGAGGACCTGGTAATCAAAGTCTTTATATCCTTTCCCAGAGTTGAATCATTTAATTTAATTTGAAGCTTGCATTTCTCATTATGAAGTGACATTTTTAGGAGTGGGATTGCTGACTGTATTAAGCAATTCTGTTTGCATGTTTTCCTAGATAAAAATTCAAATGAAATTATCGATTTTGCCCTTTTTGTCAATTAACATTACAAGATCGTTTGTTTTCAAATGGATGTTTGATGAAATTTCAAAATAAGTTTAGAGATTGGGTTTGTTGCATATTGGGTAAGAGGGGGTCCGTTATGTATGAGGTAACAAAGAGTGGGATGATATATGATGAAGATTTAAATACTTGGTCTGGTGAGGGTCCATATAAGCCAGAACTTTACAGCAGATCATCACATTTACATACTGGGTGGTACTTAAGAGGTCATATGTGGGCTAGCTGGTCACTGTATTTTATAGGTATTTAGTTGTGCTTTATGGAGGGGGAGTGATACTAACCGATAATCATGGCAATGAAATGTTCACCAAATTATGATTTTTGTTTTAAATGTTGGCAGACGCCCTACCGTTGAAGTTGCCGGAGGAATTTATGTGTTCATAAGGGTATTTTAGTAGTGGTATAAACTTCAGTCATCTCCATATTTTTGTTTTTGTCGCTTTATTGAATTTATGCATCTTGCAATGGCAAATCTGCAAGTATAACACCACAAATGTTTACAGATATTGTAAAATTCTAAGTTTGATGAGGTCATGTTGACTTGATGTGAATGTAGGAGAAAACAGGAACAATGTTATAACCAATGTTTAGATCAGGACTGATGTGTATGCATGAAGTGCAGGGATGTGAGGTCTGGGATTGTGTTGGGTTTAGTATGTAATCCGCTTTTCTCCCACTCCACCGACGCCACTGTGCACAGACCCACCGATACCGTAATGTATCCTTTGTCCTTTCAGACACAAGGAGCAAGCCCCCCACAAGTATATGCAGCTGGAGCAGAGATTGAGAAGTGAAGAGCGACTCGCTGAATTTTTCTAGGGGTCTGAAAGTGCATACATGTGCAAAAATGTTTAATACTGGATGTCAGACTTGTGGCGTTGTGCGACATATGGATGGGTTGCTACGTGTAATGTGTGTTACATCACCACAACAATCTCCAGATTTCCAAAGCCTCTGATTGGTCAGCTTAAGACTAATCAACTTCTGATAGGTCAGGCAATCCAGGAAACGGCTAATACGCCTACGATTTGTTCCATTGGTCATTTATAACCATGTTGGATAAAACATTCCTCCAAATCTCACTATCCCATCGTCTGTACACAGTCTATCCCTGGAGGATGTAGTTCAGATTAGGGACTTTTTAAGGGGTTAGATGAAGACTTCTTTTAAACATTGTCTACTTGTAGCAAATCAGTTGTTTGCTTCTTTATCAGTGACATTGACAAAATCATCTCTCTATTATTTAAATATGAAAGAGTGACATCATTGTATATAAACATGAATATCTGTGATAATGTATATTAAAAAGTAATTTTTCATTTATTGTTAATATTGGTTTTTATTTTATGCCTGTCAACATTTTTGACAAGATGTGTTATGTGATGGGGAGCGTCGGTCCTTTTGTCTGTCTGTCCATTCCATTAACTGGCTTTTAGTATCCAAACTCTTTGTTCGTAGGTATATTTGAATGAATCCATTGTATTTATTCGTGTTAAGGCACACCTCTTAGCTAAGATACTGGTTGTCAACTCTTCCAAGTTTTCTGCAAGATAATTTGTATAAATTTCATTTGATTTTGATTAGCATAATTTTGTTAGCATATACCATATACAAGACTGAAATTAGAAGTTGAGCAAAATTCATATGTAAATAATTAGCATACTGCACATGGTCATTATTTATGTTACTCAACAACGTTAACAAGGCTTGGTCTGAAGCTGAGGAAAACCTGTGCACTATTAATACTATATTATAATTGGTCAACCACTTCCAGACTTAATGAAAATGGATATGAGTTTTGATGAAACTGAAGCCACAGATAAGAAGGATTGGCACCAGTGCTGTGGTTTTGCATATGTATTGTCTACCCATTATATTTGTGTGCAGAAGCATGATTATCTGTGACGCCACACTCTGTCCTGCATTTACTGTACTGTACTATCCAGCACCATTGCTACAACACACCATTTACATATAAGTGACCGAAGATTTGACACTGATGTGATAGGTCAGGAAACAGTAAATAAGCATCAGGGCGATGAGAAGCAAAACCAAATTCTGACAGTTATTCGAAGTCATGCACATGCACTTTCTAAATAATTGATCGGGCTAAAATATTGTCATGCACTAATTAATATAGAAACATGTTGTATAGTTAAAGTAGCAAATGATTACATCAATAGGCATTCATGAAGATTATTCAGAGTAATAAAATCACCCATTCTAAAATCTTATAAAACACATCAAAGAGCAATTGTGAGAACTATAAATAACTTGATCTTTATATTAAATCTTAAAATCTCAATTCTATAATGATAATGTTTGTTCAATATTCAGAGCCAGGAAGTTCACTTTCTAAATAATTTAATACAATTGACAGATTGTCATGTAGCTAATAATATATGGCAGCTTTTAATTGTACATAAGATTACCGTCGCCTTCTAGCTTCATGCTAGAGGGAATTTCCCTTTAACTCAGTGGTAGAGCATCCAACTGGGAAGTCTGGGGTTGTGGGTTCGGTCCCCAGAAGAAACTCACTTAACCCTTTTTTCTGTTACAAATAGTGTTTATGGCCCTCCCTGTGGTGACAAGGAGTTAGAACCTGGGTTGTGTTATTTGAAGGCAAACTCATTTAAAAAGGGGGGAGTAGTGTGGCAGATTTTTAAAATCCCCTCACAATTAAAGTTCGAGTGGATGTAGGATTCCGCCCTTACGTACAACTTCATTTCTCAACAGAAATTCATGTAACTTCACACAAGTATTTGGTATGACAATACCTTGAACATGTTTGGATTACTGGTTTGAAGGTCAAGGTCACTTACTATTTTCAGAAAAAAACATTTTCATCACTCTAGTTACTTCATTACGTAACGGAATTTTATGAAACTTCATATAAGTGTTTGATATGACAATATCTTGAACAAGTTGGCGTTTTGGGTTACAGAGTTGAAGTTCAAGGTCGCTAGTTATTTTTAGAAAAAACGTTGTCATCGCTCTAGCTACATCATTCCTCTACAGAATTTCATTAAACTTCATACAAGTGTTTGGTATGGCAATGCCTTCAATAATTTTGCGTTTCAGGTTACTGTGTTAAAGGTCAAAGTCACTTACTATTTTTGTGTCGCCTGCGAAAAGCTGGTGACACATAGGTATTGCTATGGCGGCAGCGGCGTTTGCACAGAGATTTTTGTCCGATAACTTGAGTTTCCTTAGGGCCGATCAAACTCAAACTTCATGCAGTGCCCCTGTGATGTAACATGCATAAAAAAAAATCAGCACTAATGATGAAGTGGACTATGTGGCCTGGGCTTCATAATTTTTCAAAAAAATAAATCGTATTTTGTTTGAGACTACAGTTTTGGGCATTTACAAATCTGTCTACACAACAAAAGCTAGCTTATCATGTAGTCTATTTTTGTACTCAGCACATGTGTAAATATTGTGAAAAATCCACCGGAATGACCTATGCTAAAACATGATTATTTCTGTTACCGAGTAGGCGATATTTAATCTGGGGAAAACAGTTTTAGAAAAAAAAATCAGTCTTCTAAACAAAATGAAATCAAATTGTAGTTTATAAATATGTATATATATGTAGGTGTGTTGTGCAGGTTGAATTCACTATCCATGTTTATGTGAGACATGCCCTTTATTTTTAGGGTCAAGCAATTTCTACTGTACACTGCTACCCTATCCCTATTTGGAAGAATTGCAGTGCAAAGGAGTTCGCTAGACCATAATCTTGCAGACAGGCGAATCGTCGTCGTAGGAATTTAGAATGCTCCTCAATTACAAAAGATAATGGAAACGTCATCCTCTCTGAAATTCCACGTTCATGAGTGATACAATCCAGGTGCACCGCAATATGCCATAACCTCGCCTACCACTAATGCATATGATGTGTGGCGACTACCAGCGAAGTGGCGACAGTTTATTGGTTCCTACAATCTTCGATGCGACAAGTGCTCATAAAAACCAGAATGTGGTAAATCCTACAAGACAGCTATCTAAACTGGCCCCTGGGATGTCGATACACTTTTTACTGGAATGTTCAAGTGATGGAATAATTTATACAAAGGTCAAAAGGAGAAAAACTACAGCTTCTCCTGAATCTGTATGTGCTGATCACAGCCCGTGGACATGTTTTAGCTTCTTAGAGTTTCACACATTTAGTCTGTGGTATGATCTCCATTGCAAACGGAGAGCAAAGGTTCTGGAACCGTCGTAGGTTTACGCCACATACATGGATCTGCCTCTAATCGTAACATATGTTTGAATATCTGTGCAAACTGCACGTGCCCGCTATATGATCTAACGGACTCATCCTTTCCACCATTAACACACCTTATATGTTCACCTTTTCATATCGACATTGACCTGCCACAGTGTCCAGCAATAGATGTGTGACTGACTGACTTTATAGTTAAGAGCATACATGTAGTTACTTTGTTTTCCTACAATGATTTAAAGATATGGTCTTGTTATCCTAAATAATGTCTGGACTATTTTCTCTATGAAAGGACGCCTTTCTCTTGAAAATCCTACTGACTTACGACGATTTTCATAATGATAAAAGTTCATGATTTCAACAATGTTTTCATCTAAAAGCAGTGATTTATGAAAAAGACGTATCAAAGCGATTTTTATTTTGTTTAAAACCATAAAATCTTGCATCGCGAGAACAGTATGATGGGCCTCGCTAATTGAATGGAGGATATTAAATCCCGGAACATGCTACAGGACTCCCGAATCGACTTATAACCGAAATATCTCAAATTCAGTTTTACGTTGATAAACAACTGCCTCTCCGGCATTAGAAATATCCTCCATAGCTGGTGTGGCCTTGTGTGGCCTCTTAAGGGTGTAAGTACTATGGCCTGGAAGCTGCTTAAACAAGTCTTCTTTATACCAACAAATATAGCCAATTCGGGAATCTAAACACCCTTTAAATTTGTACCAGTGGAGATCCACAGAAGGAGCTACAAGGCGTTTTGAAAATGTCGGTTCTTTCGTTCTAAATATAAAGAAAACGAACCAAAGACTAGCAAAATTAAGATAAAGCTTACGTCTATTTTATCATATTTTAAGTATTGAATCTCAGGATACCCAAATATATATTGTATTAGCTGGGACTAGGCACCAGATACATAAGTATCATCTTGTTTTTGAAGTAAAGTGTATAATGTAGTAGCTTCCCCAACAGTGCTCAGAGGTTTCTTATTTTTATATTTTCATTTCATTGAATTTAAAGTTTAATCAAATTTGATCAACAGAAACAACCAGAAAAAACAACAAGTTAAAACAAACACCAGCATAATGATATGTAACATACGCCTCGTTGTGCTCAGTAAAAGAGAAGCAGAAACGTTAAATCACCAAAAAACAAATATCCAACTTCCATATACACATTTTAAACCTATTATTCGTACAGCCATTCAAAATAAATGGCGGCAACGCTGGTCTCTCGAGACCAGCAACAAACTTTTTAAAGTACAAAACGAAACTTTAAACATTTGCTCACAGTCGGAAAGATCGTAGAGATAAAGTTGTCTTCTCTCGGCTCCGCACTGGGCACACGTATCCTACTCATTCATACCTTATAGAACGAGAAGATCCACCTACATGCCACGCATGTGACACTCCATTTACAGTGGAACATGTTTTGATAGAATGTTCCGATTTTAAACACATTCGTGATAATTACTTTCGAGTCCCGGATATGAAAACTCTTTTCAGTTCCGTGGACTCGAAGGCATTATTTAACTATTTGAAAGACATCGGTCTATTCTATAGACTCTGCTGTCTTTTAACCCACATTACCCTCTTTGACGTTATATATATATATATATTCCATATTCCATATAATCTATTCATTTCACTTTTATTATTTTAACCCCTTTTTATTTTAATTATTTACACATACAATGTTAATGCCAAAAATGTATTTTTTTATCTGATTTAATCTACGCTATTCACGTTTGTTTGAAAAAAACCCCACTTAAATGACCAGAGTTGTCGATGGGCCGTTAAACAGAAACAAACAAACAAGTGCTCAGTAAGTTATCAAAATTTGACAAGTTATTCTGAATGTGCACGTTTTGATTGTTTTTTTATTATTATTAATCCATATTTTTTATTTTCATTTATTTCGTGTAATAAAATTAGATTTGGGTACCGTTTAACGGTGCAAATTACTTAAACAATGTCGATAGGAAAAGAGGAGAAACAAACAATGCAAGTACAAGTAAAGGGAGATAATCACATATATTAACAAGACGCCCAGAGGGCCTGTATCGCTCACCTGGAAATGTTAGTAAAAT